TGTTGCTTAGGGAGCCGAACACGAGCTGTTCACGAACAAAGAGTCTTTTTAATAACTCTAATCATGTAGTCATAAGACAATTGAACAAGATTTAAATATTATTATTTATATTAAAACATGATTTGAATCTAATTTAATAATTTTTATTCTATTTTCTTAATCAATAATTTAATTGATTATAAATCTTTGTAACCTTATAGTCAATTAGATTTTTTTAAAATACTTCATATATATATATATATATAAACTTGATGAGTAGTATTTTGAGCCAAAACGAGCCGAACACGAACGAACACATCTTAGTTCGTGTTCGGCTTGTTAACTTATCGAACGAAATTAACGAGTCAAACACGAGCTTCTTAACGAGCAGAACACAAATTATTCGCGAACAACGAGCCGTTTTGACAGCCCTATAATCTACAATGGAGTTGGATTCTGCCCTCATCGTTAAAAAGAAATGATTTCCATACATTCCACATATTTACTATATACATCAAACATTTATATTTTTTTATTTACTTCTATAACAATTAAATCTTCAAATCACATCAAAAACATTTTGCTAGTATTTGTTTTTATAAGTGAGATATCCCTTTTTAATGCACATATTATGGTATGTGAGAAACCAAAATACCATATAGGCAAATATTAAAACTTAATATATATATATATTAAATTTTATTTTATTTCAATATAAATCATAAATAAGGAATCATGTGCACATGTATCACACAAATTCTTTGTATTTTTCTCTCTCCTAAACTTTTATTTTTTTTCATTCATAGTATTTAAATCTTTTATATTACACAAAAACATTATTATTTCTAAGTTAAAAAAAAGAAAAATGTATATTTTTATACATAAATAAAATAATATAAATATAAAATTTTAGATATATTAATACATAGAAATAATAGAAATAATGTGCCATGAATTTATAGCTCTGAAAAAAAAAATTGCTATAGGAAATCTTATAGTAATTAGAAGAAATATTTCGTCCAAATATTACATATTTGAAGTATTAATTATCACAAGACACATTGTCATACACTTCATTTATACGAGAAATTATTTCGTACAGATACTGCATGTAGAGATGCATGCGGTGTCTGATCTCCACCTTAAATCATCATGATCATTTTTTTAAAAAAAATTTTAGGTGAAACTACCGAAATACATTTTTATAGTGATGGATATATAAAATAATTTTTAAGCCGTATGCAATAGTTTCTGTTGTTAAAGACCTGTGAAAACGGACGGTAGATTCCCAGGAGATTCGAATTCAACGGCCCCACCGTCAGCGATCATCTCCCCGCCGAATTATCCCCGAATCTTCAAACGAATCACTCTACACATTTTGCCCAATTAACGCCTCTCCCCGCGTCGATTCTCTCTCTAAAAATCGGAACGCCAGCTCTTCTTCTCCCTCCTTCAACCGCCTCTCAAAATAAAAGGAAACCCGACTCCCCTCTTTCCTTCTCCCCGTCTAAAGCCCAGAGATCCAAAGAAAGAAATAGAGCTCATCGGAACCCTAAGCTCCCCCCCCATTTTCCTCCTCCGGCCACCGGAGACTATGGTGATTTCTGTGGATTCTCCGAGGAGGTCGATCCGTGAGCTGGTTTTCGAAAGCGTGCTGGCTTACCACGCAAAGCCACAGGGAAAGCTCCGGCTTCCGAGCGTGGGTGAGCAAGGGGAGGCGGCGGGATTAGAAGACGACGATGAGATTGGGGTTTGGGAGGAGGAGGAAGGGAATGTGGAACTGGTGGAGCTTGGGGCTGAGCGCACCAAAAACGTGCTCATTCTCATGAGTGATACCGGTGGCGGCCATCGTGCATCTGCGGAGGCCATTCGCGACGCATTTCGACTTGAATTTGGCGACGAGTATAAGGTCGGGTGCTCTATCGCTCTCTCTCTCACTTTCCTTTCTTTCTTTTTTGGCTTATATTTTTAAGTTTTCCTATTTTATGGTTTTTTAGGTTTTTTTTTTCCTTCTTTTTTATGACTATTGGAGAGGAAGAGGAGAAATTTTAGAGGAAAGTTGCTTGTTGAGAGTTCAAAATCTAAAGGAGACGGAATAGGATCCTTAGGGAATTTTGTTGCTTCTTCATGAAAGAAAGAGAGAGTTACTCTTGGAAGAAAAAAATTAATTTATATCCACAATATTGGTGCTGTTATAATAAATAATAATAACTTATACCATCCGTTCAACATTCTTAATTTTTTTTTTTGTGGTTTAGCTAATCTTTAAATGAGTTAATTACACAAAAACAATATATTATGCAACTATAGTAAATAGATAATAAATGATTTTGATATCAATTAAAGTGTCATTTTAGGATTTTTTTTTTGTATTTTATTTTGTTTTATTTATGTTTTGATTTTAATCAGAAACTTCTTTGACTTATTAAAATGAAATAATTGGATTGTTTTTTTTTTAAATCAAAATATCTAAAAATTATTTTGAGAGTTTTTAAAATATGCTATTTCATTTAATAAATTTCCATTTAATATATATATATATATATATATATATTAAAATGCCA